GGAGATTTCTTGAACTCCAGGCAGAAATGACACCAGGACCAGGCCACATAAAGAACTTTGCAGATTTGAGACATTAGAGGAGACTAAATAGCAAAAGAGGTGGACTTGAGTTCCCTAAAAGGCTCTTACAAAATGAGACAGGAGACTCCCTGGTGGCACAGGGATTAAAGACACAGCTCTACCAAGCTATCACCAGCCAGGGCAGCATGAGTTCACTCCGCGGCTAGGGAGCTAACCTACCTGGTGCAGCAGACCTCTCCTGTCTAGTCCACTGCTCCCCTCAGCAGTGTATTTCAGTGGATCCGCCTGCTCTGCTCCCCACTCTGTGTCTGGTGATTCCTCTCATTCCCCACACCTCTGGCCTACACCCCAGTTCTTGTATGCATAAATAAATAAATCTTTAAAAACAAAACAAAACAAAACAAAATAAACCCCAAAATGAGACAGACCTCTTGTTAAAGCACATTAGACCCTTCACAAGAGTTTCAGTTTGATTTTGTTAGTTTAAAGTCTTCTAAAAGAAGCTAGACACTGACTAGAGAATCATTTAAATTATTGGTTGGGTATAATTGATGGGACCCAAAAACCTCTGTCCTATTATTTTAGCCACATAAAATGTTGATTTGGCTCTGAAATATCCAGCAAGATGAGACTTTAGTCAACCTGGTTGAGCTTTAAATATGGTCTTTGAAAGAAACCAAAATGATTTTATGCAACAAAACCCATTTGATATTGAAGATGGAGACCTATTGGGTGGTGGACTGCACTGGCTAATGAAAAGCAATGAGGAGTGGCACAGAAGTCAGTTCAAGAGGCTAGGTAACCCCCAAACTTGAATTTTGGCTTCAGCATACGGTAATACAGTAATGATTTCATTTTTTGAATAGGACTTGTAAAGACCAATGTAAAGTTCAGCTTTCTTCAGTGAGTAGACACTGACCTGATTGACTAAAAAGAGGGACATAACAACCAGTCAGAGATTTCAAAATGGCAGCAATGATTCACAAATGGATGGAGAGTTAATACTTTATACTGGCTGCTGGAATCTCTGGATGCTGGAGGAAGGCCAGATGTCTCAGATGTCACCTTCAGTAGATGAGGAAAGCAAAGCTTGTGAAGGTGAAGAGCACAGAAATTATGGAATACATGGAATACAACCTGGGTTCTTGAGAAATGCATTCTTGCTGAACAACCGCCCAACTCCCACCACTAACCTCCACAACACATGTGACAGAGGCCATGCAGCACGTTGGACAAGGTGAGCTGAGCTCACAATCTGAGGACCTGAGACAGAATCCTTCCTCTTCCAGCGTTACTTCCCCTCATGGAGCCTCTCAGCTTCTTCATCTTTAACAGAAATTAATCTACATTATGGGGCTGTTACAATGATTGTAAGGATAAAGTCAAATAATTAATGTGAGAGCAGCTTTTAAAAACAGTAAGTGCCACCAAATGTCAAGTAATATTATTCCAAATAGCATTTGTGCCTTTATAATAACAGTTGTCAAGTTCTGCCTAGAAATAGAAATAGTTGCTACTTGCCCCTTGGGGATGCCCTCCTCCTTCTGAACTATGTTGAAAGTTACTTCAGGTGGACTGTGTCTTTCTTACTTTCATCTGTAATCCCTCCAGCCTCTGGCACAGTCCCTTTTATGTAGTGACTGATCAGTGTTTCTTGAACTGGATCGCTTATAATAAACTATTATTGTCTTAGTGAAACTTCATTTTCTCCCAGCACTAGTATTGAGAAAATTCCAAGTGACTGCTTTTTATTTTTACAACCAAAACGAGTAAGAGGTACAATGTATGTTTACCAAAGTCCTGCTATTTTAATGGCACCCTTTTTAACTTTCACTTAAAAAAAGAAACTATTTCACTTTTGTACAAAATATCAGGGATATAATTCAGATGAGAGAAATGTCATAAATTGGAAAGTCAGAGTTGAAAACTGAAATTTTATGAAACCAGTTTAACGCTGCTGAGGATGAAATAAGAGAAACATGGAACAGAGCTGTGAAATGTTAAAAGTCCACATTGGAGTGCTTTTAGTCCCTTCTAGGATTTCCTGGAGCCTTGTAGACTGTTATTCACCATCCACATATGCATATATAAAAATATACCATCTATAAATAGCCACCTGCCTTTTCAGTGAAATTAAAGAGGGGAGAGTTAGAAGAGAATTTCCCAGTATAATTATAGGGCTCAAACCCACAGCTGTTATAACTCCTATAGTTTTACGCAAAGAATTTCTAATATCACTATTTTTCTATCAAGCACCTTAGGTTTTTTTTTCTGTAATAAGATGTTGTCAACGGGACATTTTCTTATTTGTTGCTAAGATTTCATATGCCCCTATTTAAAAAGATTAAGCGTTGCATGGTGTTATTGTGTTAGACTAATTTTGTTTTATAAACTGCAGAAAATTTTCACAAGTGTTGCTGCTCCTTATCTAGGGATTAACACCAAACTCCTGCCAATGTTTTTCTTAAACTCTACACATACCCTTTTGTAAACATTCTCCCTCACATATTTTCTGCTAAGATGCGCCTCCTTAAAATATCCCTGAGCTTCTAAAATTCTGGTAAGAATGGGCTGTATAAGGACATACCCAATGTGAAAGAAATTTAACAGAACACTTTTATCTTTCCTTAACAAAAAAGCAGGTAGTAATTTATTCATACACAGCCTTTGTTCCCCTACTGAAGACCGACAGACATTTTTCAAGCTTCAAGAACCCTGAAGGACGAAGCAGCACTGACGGGAGGTAGGGACACATTTACAGAGCAGACACACACCTCCTCCACAGAAGGGTCTAAGTGGCTTTAGCAGTTAATTTGTGAGCCAAAAAGCCCATTGGGAGCCTTCCACCTACTCTAAAAGCAAACATTCTTAACAGGCGGTATTAGTGTGGTGTTAAAAGAGACATGCTTTAAACCTAAAAGGTGTCACTTTATGAGCAAAAACTGGATAAACCTTAAGAGACTTGAAGTCGCTATTTTTTCTCTCCCTTGATGCCAAAATCTTCACAGGTTAAGATGACCTCACACCCATTGTTATGTTCAAAACCCAAGAGGATCTTAAAAAGCTGCTTTGCACAGTGCAACAGTGTGGCTTCCTTCTCCTGGTGAGGACTGTCACGGCTTTTCATTGTGTTTGTGAAACACGCCAGCCATGTGTGTGAGCCTGTTAATTAAAACAAAAACAGAACTGTTTCTGTAGAGCTTTAGAAGTACAGAAACTTAGAGCCGAAACAGGAAAGGAGAAACAGCAGCACCTGGTCTTAATGGTCGCTGAGAATAAGGGACTCTAATACGAGGTGCCAGGAAACGGACACCTGACTTAAAAAAGAGGTGAGTGAAAAAAAGAGGGAGATTGGAAGTGTTTAGAATGACCATCATTTCCCTGAGGGACTGTTTTAATATCAAATTGTCTAGATGGTGAAGGCTTCTTGGTCTAATCTGATTCCAAAGTTGGCCTCTCCAACGAGAGGAAAGAATAGCTTCATGGCTTCTGAGGCCATCCTCGGGTCAGATGTGGAATCTATTCCTGCCAGAGCTGCTGAGTCACTGCCACCTCAGGAATCACTTGACCTCTGGTTCAGCTGACCTAGAAGGTGGAGTGAACCCTCCAGAAGAGAAGGCTCCACCAGCATGGCCCCTGCTGTTATCTGGAATCATCAATGGACTGACTTTCCCAGCCATTTAAGCATTAACAATTTAGATAAGGTGAATTAGAATACAAAAACACCGATTAGTTTAAAAAAAAAACACACTAATTTTCCTTCCCAGGAAAACATCACCAGAAAAGCAGACCAAAAATATTTCCTAGTCCTCTTTCAAATATGGATTTCATCGCTGAAGGGTAGTAAAAACATGGATCAGATAGCAAGTCTCTGAAAGAGATGCTTATTTTGTACCTTCAGTAAGTTATCCAAAGCAGGATGTGAAAGGCTTAAGGGTGGATGTGACAGGGTGATGTGAAGCAAGCAGGAAGCAGCCAACAACAGAAAAAAAAAAAAAAAATTAAAGGACAGTGAAGGCATTCATTACACTCTATTTCAAAGCAAGAGAAAAAGACCTCAATATAATATGTAACATCTTCCTGTTTGAGGGACACATCCAATGGTAACCCTCCATACCTTGGCAAAAGTACAGTTCATTGACTTAATGCTATATAGGAACCGTAAACTAAATAAACATTCATTTTGTATTAAAAATTTTATTTGTGATCTGTACATGTGATAAAGTGGGGCATCCTTGTAGACTTTTAAAGGCAAAACAAAAGTCCAAAGTAAAAATGTATAAATACAATATATATTTTCTTACAAAAACGAGAGATTTACAAAATATACATACTGCACTTGTCTCTATTTTACAAATTTCACATGCAAGAGATACGACGCAAAAGATGCCAGGAACTGTAGAGTGGGAGTTTGAAAAGTCTGACAAATTAGACAGCTTTGGAGGTTCTAAAAAAACACAAGGTCAATGTTAACTTTAATACATAAAAAGCAGCTCCACTCAACTGAACATCACATATTTAAAGTAACTTGTGTTCCTGATAATTCCCTCTATGATGATTTGTAAAAAGCATTTAAGAACTGTTTTGAGAAATGGGAGAGTGTTGCAAGACTGGAGGGTGGTGTCAAAGGTGGAATAAAGGTTAGCACCTCAAATTCTCTTCCCAGCATTAGACCATCGTGCAAAAGAGTCAGAGTTCTATTATGGGAAAAAAGTACAAGATGTAAGATTAGTATATTTGAGTCATCCAGCACATTTCAAAGAACTCCAGAATTACTTTGAAGTTTACCTTTTTTTTTTTTTAATGACGTTCCTTGAAAATGGGGCTCATGGTTTGAACTGTCTTTTTCATTCACTATCATTTCTGCAGGTCACCTCCCTCCCTACTCACACTAAGACAGGGTCAGCATATACATGTTTTATAAACGGATTTATGGACCTAGGAAACAGGGCAAAACGTTTCTTTACCTTTAAAAACATTTAACTTTGCCTCATCATGAGATTGAAGGCATTATGCTTTTTTTTTTTTAATCTTGAAGGATTCAAATTGGAGGGTGGGGGAGAAAAGAATATCTAAATGCAGGTTTATAGGAAGAAAAAAATTGGAGATTTCCTTTAACATTTTAACAGAGACGTTTGGGTCATGTGTTCTGAATTAAATTTATTCAAAACGTACAAGTACAACAAAACCCCTGCATTTCTTTTAGCCAAGTCAGAACCACTGGCCCAAAGGCGTTTGGAAGCACTGGAAGCATGCTGCCCTTCACTTTTCCTTAAAAAGGAATGTTTATCTCAACCAAATTAACATCAGAAGGAAAACCTCAGATTTGTGCTATTTTGCCTATAAAAGTTGCTGTCTTCACAGTTATGCCTTTCCACAGGGAGACACTTTGGTTTCCTCTTTTGTCTCTTACAACAAAGACAAGGGGGGGGTGGGGGAGAGAAATGCACTCCTGTTTTGAAAAGCAACAAGTCATCTCTCTCTCTCTTTTAGGATATTAAGCCAAATAAAACACCCTTCTTTCTCCCTCCTGCCTTCCCCAGAAAATACAAAAGTAGTACAAATACCCACTACTCATGCCTGCCTCATTTTGAAATATACCTTCTTTTCTTTAGCATCCTCACGTTAGCATTTTCGAAGAAGGCAGGCCTCCCAAACCCTCCACATGCTTACTTTACAAGACTTGAAAGGAGTAGGGGCGGAAAAACAAGCAGGAGGGGGCAGGCAGGAGAGACAGTAATAATGTCTGACCCTGGAAATTAACCTATCTGGGCTCCAGTTTGGCCCCAGTGAAAAGAGATTATGGTCTGACCACCGCTTGACAAGGACACGGCAGGGAGTCCTCCCGCTTCCCAACAAAGCGGCAGCCGCAGACAGAGCTGTACCTTTCACCCGGGCCGCACGGGAGAGAGGACGGGCCACTTGTCTTGCAGCAGGGGCATCGTGCACAGTCCCAGTCTCTTCCCCGGAGCCGGGAGGACTCGCAGCAATTTCTGCGGGTCTCAGTCCTCTCGTTAGGCCCGGGTTCGGCCCGCACCCGACACGAGTAACACCGTTATCATCATCCTCATCCTCATCCCGCAAGTCTTCGCCGGGAATCTGTTCATCCAGACAGTCTTTCCACCCAGGCCTCCTTCCCAAACCCACCCCTCTCGCCCTAAGCCTACGTGTATCTTCTCTCCCCCAGGTCGCTTCTCCCTGGGGCTGAAGCTGGGGCCTACACAAGTCCCCCACCCCAGCAGCGCTTTCCCCGCGGCGGCTCGCCCCCGGGCAGGGGGTAGGGAAAAGCAGGGCGGGGAAGGGGCCGGGGCTCATACCGCAGTCTCCCCTTTACTGCTGTGGCTGAGTCTGTGGTAGAAGCGGCGCCATGACTGCAGGGTCTTGCCGGACCAGATCCAGAAGCCGGTGGTAATGCCCACAATCATGGTCATCAGGTACTTGATCATGAAGACGGTGAAGTCGGGACTCATGGGCGGGAAGTGGCCGGGCGGGCAGGGCACCGCGTAGCTCTTGCAGGTCTGCAGGAGCCAGGTGCGCTCCCAGTGTTCGCGAAAGGCCTGCTCATAGAAGTAGCAGGCCAGGACGATGGTGGCAGGCACAGTGTAGAGCACACTGAAGACTCCGATGCGCACCATCAGCTTCTCCAGCTTCTCGGTCTTGGTGCCGTCGTGCTTCATGATGGTGCGGATTCGGAAAAGCGACACGAAGCCGGCCAGCAGGAAGGATGTGCCGATGAAGAGGTAGACGAACAGGGGCGCCAGCACGAAGCCCCGCAGTGCGTCCACGCTGGACAGGCCCACGTAGCACACGCCGCTGAGCAGGTCCCCGTCCACCTGGCCCATGGCCAGGATGGTGATGGTCTTGACGGCGGGCACCGCCCACGCGGCCAGGTGGAAGTACTGTGAATTGGCCTCGATGGCCTCGTGGCCCCACTTCATGCCCGCCGCCAGGAACCAAGTAAGCGACAGGATGACCCACCAGATGGAACTGGCCATGCCAAAGAAGTAGAGGACCATGAAGAGGATGGTGCAGCCCTCCTTCTTGGTGCCCTGCGCCACCGTGCGGTAGCCGTCGTCCGAGAAGCGCTCCACGCACACGGCGCGGTCCTCCAGCAGGAAGCCCGCCACGTGCGCCACGGCCACCATGAAGTAGCAGCCCGACAGGAAGATGATGGGACGTTCGGGGTAGCTGAAGCGCCGCATGTCCACCAGGTAGGTGAGGACGGTGAAGAGCGTCGACGCGCAGCACAGCACCGACCACACGCCCACCCAGAGGCGAGCAAAGCGCCTCTCCTCCTCCTTAAAGTACATGAGGCCGTTGGCGCGGCCTGGCTCGCACGGGGCCCCGCAGTCACGCTCGCCCAGGAAGCGGTAGCCCAGGTAGGGGGGCACTTTGAGCTGGCGGGGACACGAGAAAGGAAAGGCGAAGCGACCCCTTCTGTCATGGGCCCCCGGGGGCAACGCGGTGAAAGGCAGCTCGGGCATGTAGGGCGCGGTGGGATAGGCGGTAGGGCCACCGCCCGGACCCCCGGAGCCATCCGACGTGTTCTGGCCCACGCAGATTTCTCCCGCCCCGTGCACAGGGAAGTTCTCGCAGCGCAGCCGCTCGGGCCACTGGAAGCCGAACTTATTCATGAGCGCCTCGCAGCCCTGGCGGGCACGCTCGCACAGAGAGCGGCACGGCGGGATGGCCTGATCCAGCACGGTGCACACGGGCGCGTACATCGAGCACAGGAAGAAGCGCAGTTCGGGAGAACACTGCACCTTCACCAGCGGGTAGAACTGGTGCACCTCGAGGCCCGCGTCCTCCTGGTTCGTGTGGCCCAGCAGGTTGGGCAGGATGGTCTGGTTGTAGGCGATGTCCGTGCACAGCGGGATGGAGATGGGCTGGCAGAAGCCGTGGTCCGGTACCGAAATGCCCTTCTCGCCGTGGTACGGCTGCGCCCCAGCGCCCGCAGGCAGCGCGCCCAGCAGCGCCAGCACCAGAGCGCACAGGCCCAGGGGTGAGCGCGACGCGGACGCGCCGGGGTCCCGCATCGCCGGCCCGGGGTGCAGCGGCGCTCTCAACCAGAGGAGCGCGCCCAGGCGGCTGGGAGAAGCTTGGATCCGGGGAGGCGCCGCCGCGCCCGGCGCATGAGAGTCCTCCCGGCGCCGGGGCCGGGCCGTGGGCGGCGTGGAGCCGAGCGCGCTGCAGCTGGGGTGCCCGCGCCGCGGGGGCGCCCTAGCCGCCTCCGCCCGGCACCGCGCAGGCACTGGGGGCTCCAACTTGTCTGCTTAGGGGGAGGGCGCAGAGAGGGGCCGCTTTCCCCCCGCCGAAGCGTAACGGTGCGGCTTTCTCGGCGGCGAGGAGCAACAAGCGTCTCCGGTTACCCTTCAAAGTTTGCCCAAGTCTCTCGACCCTCCGCGCACAGCAACGCGCGCGCCCCCCACACCAAGTCCGGCCCCCAGCAGGCGAGTCCCCGGCGCGGCGCTGGCGAGGGAGGCCGCCGCCTCCACGCGGCTGCTCCGCCTCCTCGCCTCGAGGCTCCGCCGGCCGCCGCCTCCTGCGCCTCCTGCTCCGCACCCCTCTCCTCAGCCCCGAACGCTTGGCCCCAAGTTTCAAACGGTTCTGAGTCCGATCAGCGCCGCGGAGCCAAGAGCTCAGCGAATTCTTTTTGGAAATCCAGACACGCAGCGCCTGAAGCTGCTGGATCCCGGCGCCCGCGGCCTGGGCCTGGCCTCTCCAACCCGACGCGGCCCTGGAGAGCGAGTCCCGGCGCCCGCCGCAGCCGCCGCCCGCCGGGAGAGCGCAGAGTGAAGCCTCGCGGCCGCCCCACTCGCCAGCAGCAGCGCGGGGCGCGCGGGGCTCCGGGCCGTCCCGCCCCCTCCCCTCCCCCCATTCACAAACACTCTGGGGGCGGGCCCTGGAGCTCCAGGTTGGGCCAATGGAAACCTTTGTTTTCCGAGGAGCCGGCTCCGGATTGGGTGGAAATCGGAGGGGGCGGGCGAGGGAGCTGCAGAGGCGGGGCCTGCGGAGCTCTGGGCGGATTCCTGAGGGGAGGGGCGGGGGGCTGGGAGGGAAAAGTTGAGGAAAACTTTTACCCCGAATTCGCTCCGGGGAGGGGGGACGCACGCTAAACGCACCCGAAAGGGAGTTTGAGGGAAAGATTTGCTCCTCTTCCGGGTACACAAAACACTCGTTCCCCGACCAGAAAGACACGCGGGGCAAGGCTTTTGCCGGGGGAAGCTGAGGGCAGCGCGGCGCCTCGGCGCGGAGACGGGACCTGGAGGCGCGTCAGCCCTGACTAAACTCAGAGTCCCGGGTTTGGCCGGGGGCTTTTGGGGAGCCGGCCCTTAATTGTAGGGTTCGGCAGGGGCGGGAAGGAGGTGCGCCTTGCCGATCGCTGTTCTTTCTCCAGACTCAAGCAGCCCGTGTGAGGGCGAAACCCCTCTCGCCCCACTCCCTCCCGAGCTGTAAAAGGAGGAGGGGCGCGTCGGAGGAAAAACCCGAATCGAGCGGGGGTGGGGGACCCCGACCTGGGGCGGGAGGAAGTGCAGACCCCTCCGAGGGGAGAGGCCCGAGCGGCGGGCGCGGGGGAGCGCAGCTCCCGGAACCCTGTCAGCGCGCCCCGAGTCTCCAGACCCGGCGTGCCTTTATCAGAGAACTAAGTCGTTGTTGGGGTGTCGGGGGAGAGGGATGGTGATAAAAGTAACCTGAGATCAAACCCAGAACACTGGACGAGTGTAAAGAGAGGCGTCCGTGGCCCTCAGTTCCGCGGAGTGTGTGGCCACTCGGGATCCCATTTTTGTTGTGGAAGCGATTTGGAATTTGCGTAGAAAAATGTGAATGCGGACTAGAAACCAGGGCGTTTGCTGATTGAAGAGTTTACCAAACACAAAGAGTTACCCTTGTTCTCGGCTTGCGTTTTCTGATTGGCAAGCCGTCTTTGTTCCCGGGGAAATCTTCGCCCGGCTCAAGACACTGGGAGCTTGCGCGCGCGCTGGTTACCCAGGCGAGTCTGAGGTTGCCCCGGAGGGGTTAGGGTGAGTGGGGGTGCGCTTCTCCGCTCTCTCAGGACAGCGAGGAAGATCGACAGTTCCCGTGTAAAAGGTGACATTGTTGAGAAGGGAGTAAATCTCTCTAAGAAATTTCTCTCACACACATGCAAAATCTCTAAGAAATCTCTCTCGCTTGCTCTCCCCCCCCCCCACACACACACAAGCACACATACTCCTGTGCTTTAAAAAGCGGATCCCTGCCTTCTGCCTTGTGCCAGTCTTAGTTCCTGAAGCTGCAGTCCTGAGGGATTTCTGATTAGGTTGCATGTTTGCAGAAGTGAGCTTCTCCGGCAAGGGGGGAAAAAAGATTCTAAGACAATTAACTGGGTTCCCTTCCATGGAGACTTGGGCTTCCTCTATTTGTCTTTTATTTATTTTCTATTACTGAGTTTATTGGGAAACATTCCTTCCACTTCACAGTTCTTTGTCATTTCCATTCCTGTTAAAGTGTTTGGAAGGCTGAAGCCTTTGGACCCATGTTGGGTGTCAGACTGCTGGCATGCCCATCCGGCCCTCAACAGGAGTCCTCATCTTCTTTTCCTTCCAAAACATCAATTTCCTCCTTGCAACAGGGACTTTACCTTTTTTTTTTCCTATTGGGATGTCTGCTCAAGGTAATATGCAGAATTAATGTTACCTGATTTTAAAATGTTTCATTCCTCCCATGTATTTTTTAAAGCGTTCCTCTTTTTATTTCTCAATTATTATTTCTATTACTTAATGTGAGAGAAACAATGAGCTTTCATTGAAAGATGGTGTTTAAAGACAATGCTCCTACTTTGTCTTGTCATTTAAAGAATGTGTAGTGGGGGGTTGGAAACTTTTTTTTCTCTCCATAAGCTTTAGGATATTCTAGTTTTCTAAATCAAAATTTCATGCTTATTCATCAGGCCACTGATCTAAGTCATCTTTGCTTATTGAGGGAGCAATAGCAAGCTCTGTCATCAAATAAAACGAGAACTGACAGGGTAAAATACTGTATCTCAACTATAACTAAAGCGAGTTTAGTTGATGAGCTTCTACTCCTCATATTATAGCCCCAGTCAGCTCTCTGATGTTTGGTAACGGGGATAATTACTTAGAAAGAAAAAGAAAGAGTCCTTAAAAAATACAAGGGACAAATGAAATATTTAAAAACAATCTATCCATAAGATGCGGAAAACCCATCCCAGATGGAAAGTATCACAGCTGCGAGTCTTCTTGCTTTGTCCCAGGCAGACAAGTGCAAAAAAAAAAAAAAAGGGGGGGGGGAACGCCACTTTTTGGGAAAGTGTTTTGAGTTTTAAAATGCTTTAAGAACAAAAAACATCCTGCTCCAAAATTATGCTAAGAAACAAGAACATACTGTTTGTAAGAGGGGTACGGTAGCTTTTTTGGCCTTGCCTGATATTGACTACTATTTCAAGGAGCTCAGTAATAAAAGGGAGTATATCAGAAAAGTAAGCTCATAATACAAAGGACTAAACAGTCTACTTTTAACTCTATGATAAATTTCCTAACACTGGTTCACATTTCATCCAGAACTCATTTAATTTTCTTTTCTAAGCAACACCTTCCACACCCCTCTCCCACAGCCATTCACTGGTCTCTTCTTTGGAGAGCGATGGGTGGAAAATTTTGTAACTATCTGCTGCAAAACTTCCAATTGTCCCTGCCCTTTAAAACAACAAAGGCTTTTATTTCTTCATATCATAGTCATATGGTGCCACAGAAAAGTGATGCTATTCATTGGCTCCAATTATTTAAATACTACTTATTTTGGCCAAGTCCCAGGTTTATCTAGTTAAATTACGTTCTGATGTCAGGCCAGATTTGAAAATGGCCACCTTCGTGATGCCACAATCCTGTGGTTGTAGTGAAACTCCAGCTGCAAGAATTACTCATGCAAGACCAGAAAGGGCAGCTTTTAGCATATACTGCCTCCCCTTTCTGGCCTCTCCTTTAGCAGACTGTATGTGACTTCATTAATTTAAGGACTTGGAATTTCTAGTTACCATTGACTTCTCTTTTTAGTTTGGTGTGTTGGATCATTCCCCAAACAGGAAGATTCTTGTCACTAAAGCAGACTTCGGTTTGTAATGAAAGTTAGAGGTGTCTAGATTGAATAAGAGGAGGACCATATTGAAATTTTTAGGTGTACTGAGCCCCACCCTATAAAACTGCTTTATCTGGTAGATTTAGCCACTGAATCTGTGTAACCATTTTCCTTATTATTTGAGTGTTTTATTAGCTGTCTACTATTATATAATAAATTACCCCAAAACTTAGCAGCTTAAAACAACAAATATTTAATATTTCAAAGTTTTTGCGTGCCAGGAACCTGGGTGGGTTTGCTGGGTTCTCTGGTTTGGGGTCTCTCATAAGTCAGAAATAAGGGTGTTGGTTACACTCCCACTGAAGGAGGATTCACTCCCACTCATGTGGCTATTGGTAGGCCTCAGAATATCCATTTCTAAGTCCATTATGTGGCTGTTTGAGGTCTCAATTTCTTTCTAGCTGTTGATCAGAGATATCAATTCCTTGCCCTGTAGGCCTGTCATAAAACCACTTTATAACACAGTAAGTTGCTCTCCTATAGCAAGGGGGAGAGAGAGAGAGAGAGAGAGAGAGAGAGAGAGAGAGAGAGAGAGAGGATGGCAGTCAAGATGGAAGTCGTAGTCTTTCTGTTACCTAATCTTGGAAGTGACATCCTGTCACTTAGAAGCAAGTCACCAGGTCTTGCCACATTCAAGGGATAATAGGGATTTGTCTAGATTAGCCCAGGGTGTGAAAACTTATAGGATGGTAAATAACTACTTCAGAGATGGTTTACCACAAGGATATTCATTCATTCCCAAAGTATTGTGAAGACGACTTCATAGAGAAAAGCAAGTTCTAGGTCTTTATCCTTGGAAAGTGCAGAGAAAAGATGACAAGTGTTGATTGGTTATAATGCATCTGTAAGAGTCAGAACAAAATCCTAACTCTGGCCAACAGTTTTTTTAAACATTTGTCATTGGACTAGAAGAGGAAAGAATATGGAGGAAATTTATTAAT